CCCTGTTTCGGTGCTCGCCCAACCTTTTTCCCCGGGCTGTCCATTAAAAAGCCAAACTGTAGCTAATTAAAGCGACGTCTGAGCAGAACTCGAATCAAATTCGGCGCATATCAAATTATGAGCGCAGATGGCAGCAATTGCCGCCGGAGCCACAGCCTGGCGCATATGGATTGGCCACCATCCAAGCACCCATGTCCAGGCGGGAAGTGAACCCTCGAAAGGGAAGCTGATTATCCTTAGAAGCAATCAAAGTCGAGGGAAGCGGCAAAAGGGCAGGGTCATAACACTGGGTTATTCATGCACATGGCAGCCATTTAAGGGCTAGGTGAGAACTCGTTTTAGCATTCAAGATACAAATAATTTCGACCCATTTGGAGCTGATTTCGATAAAGAAATGAAAAGTCGAGCAGAAATACGATGCAAATGAGCTTTACTACGGTGTAGTAATATCATAGCGATATGACCCATTCGATGATTTATTTATCTATCAAGCTTCACTGTTCCTTCATGAATAAAAGAGGTTTTTGCCAACGGAAAAAGAGTTTTGTTGGAAACATGAGTAATAACCTCGAGGGAATCATACTTCGTACTGCTGCATTGTGTGATTTCTGCTCTTTGAATTCGAAGCACTTCCGCTTAATTAGAAACCCGCCAAGAATCTCCATAAACTGTCCTGTCGACCACTTTACATACCCGAGTTCGTCCAAAACATGTCCATAAGCGCGTTTTGCTCCGAAAATCCTATTTACCTACGAAAGAATAAATCCCCCTCCCTGTTTTTAGCCCACTTGAGTGGACTTCGTTTGCTCTTGTCGATGTTTGTCTAGTTTATGTGCCGCGTTTGTGTTGTTTTTGGACTTCGTTGCCGTGTTTTGTTTGTCCGCAACACGTAGGGCCAAAAGAGGAAGATCAACGAGCAGGAGGACGTCAAGCTGAGCTCAAAAAACCGAATGCGACATGACCACGACTCAAATTTCCTCCAGCAGTCACCGTGGTTCAGATCCATGGAGTATCGAAAAAGATACGATAACTGTAATCCGAGAGGCATGGTGCACTTAAGACCTCGGTGTTTGATTGCAGCATAGAGCGAGGCTCAAATGGAACTGAGAAGGTCGCTGGGACAGCTGGTTGCTGCCAAGCTGGTAGGGGATATGCTTAATAATTCCAATGATTCCAGGGTTATTAATTCTGCTTTAAATATAATCGTCTTTCACTTGATCACCACAGGAACTGAAGAGATGGGTACCCCGTATTCCAATGCTCGGGAGTTCACATTCCTGGAACATTTCTTTAATGGTCACTAAACCCAGCCGAAACTGTGCTGCCAACTAAATGTGGCGAGCACCATTACGGATCTTATCTGCAGGCCCTTAGCAAAAACATGAAACATTCCCGAGTGCTCTTATCGCGCTTCTTGACTCCGCAACTTTGGCCATTCCACTGTGCAGCAAGTGAAAAGTTTTTGGCGTGGAAGCGGTCGGAAAAGCCGGGAAGGAGGGCGGAAAACTTCCAGCAGAGCCTAATAGACATTAGCCAAAACCTGATTGCGTAGGCTGCTCTGGTTTTGGACATTGCCCTCATACTCTACGAATTGGCTGGAGTTCCCAAATGCGGTTTTATTAGAAGCCTTATTGTATTGCGGGAAATATTTGATATGATATTAGTTTAGAGTGTGTATTTATATTTAATCCAATGCGTCGACTAATTCAGGTTGCCAACTTGCTTCTTAAAGGGAGGAATATATAAGTTGCATCACATTAATAATGATTTAAGTTGCATCACATTAATAATGATTCAATATAAACTCGCATGGGTAAATAAAAACCTTTTGATAGGCCACTAAGCCTGTGGCTTAGTAATCAAATATATATATAATATATGTAATAATATTGTAATATATATAAGCTTGCAACTTTAAGGGTATATATAGCCCGACATCAGTCTGCCCCCTCGACGTGACCTCGGCCTCGGTGTTCCCAGTGTTGCATTACAAGTGAAAATTTCAGTTTGGCAGCAAATTAGTTTAATTTCTTTTCGGCTGGCGCACGCCTGCAACATAACGAGCGTAGTTAATTGTAGCCATGTACAAGAGCTCTGGCTTGGAGTCGGAGTCGGAGTCGTTATCCTGACAAGAGGGAGACACGCAGAGTCTGCCCCTGAGTCTTCCCGCCCCTCGAACCCCTCCCAACCACCCCTCGCAGTTTGTTCCTGTGGTGGCAGTCCGCGTTTTGTTCCAGGCTGGGGAAAATGTGTCATTAGGCATGTTTCATGACCCTATGTCATGCACAGATAATTATAATTTAATACACTTGCGGCAGGTCGCAGAAGGCAGGGGGATGAGGTTACACAGGGGTTAGTTCAGATTTTAAGATAGCCTTACCCGTACCCCTCTTTGGGCGATTGTAATGCCAGGTTTGCAGCGGTAAAAAGGGGAATTACCTAAATTAATTGTAATAGCTATAGCGTTGTTGCTGAACAGCGCAGGAAAGTGCAGCATTTTTATTACTCATTAATCTATACTTAGACTGCAGAACCTGGTTTCAGTTTTTTATCGCATGAGTTTTATGCAATACTGTATCCTATGTAAAGTATGGAACAGAAAGATCACTAGCCAAGTCATCTGGCCATCTGGTGCGTTAGGAACGCTGAAGCGAGACAAGCTTGTAATAGGTATCTGATAGTCGAATTCACAGCGTCAGATCTAACAGCTGCTTCTCGCGGAACTGCTGACAAAATTGGTTATTGCAAATATACACTGTACAGATTGGATTCGATAATGCAGCCGTATACTCGCAGCTGCGAGGAGGCAAGTCAGCGACAATCCGGTCATCAAAGAGATTTTCCTCACCTCCTTGATTGCAGATTTCCCGGGGAGGGAAATCCCTCCCCCAGTATCTCGAGGCAGTCGCAGTAAGTTCTACTTTACTTTGTGCCACAAAATTGCCACAATTCGTTGAAGTTGCCTGCCACGAGTGCTCCGCCTGGCAATTACGAAGGCACAGGATGTGTTTTAGTGCCGCCCTGCCTCCTGAAAGGCGGGGCTCCCATTTCAGACCATTTTGTCGCATCTAATTTGCACAGCTCGCGGCTAAATATGAAAAGTTTGTCGTGGCTAATTTGCTTTATGGCATTTTAATTGTATTTGCCCAGCCTGGGAAATTGCTGGCTGCCGACTACTGATTGCCAGTCTGCTTGCTGAAAAGTTAATGAGCTTATGAATTTCAGATGGAGGTTGGAAGCTCGGTAGGTACTCCTTGGGAGATAGTTCCGCGCCTTTGTTGCTGATAACCGCATTAGGCAATTATCGATAATTTATGAAAGTAATTGAACGCCACATCGCTTGGGCGGATGTCTTGCCCTCCACGGGGCTTGTGCGAGTATCTGTATCTATATCTGTGTTTGCTGGCTGAAAACACAAATGAGCACAGCAGGGCCCATCGAGTGCAGATACAATTCTTATAAATAGACAACAACAGCGGCCCTTGTCGACAGTTGGCAATCATCATCATAAACCAACTAGGCAAACACAAACAGCGGCTGGGAAGGCCAACTAAGTTGCCAAAGCAACCGATACCTTGGGGTTTTCTCGGCAAAGTCGGGTTAATGGTAACTGCATGGCAAAGAAAATAAGTATTCTTAGTAAAAAGCTTAGCTAGTTCGCTTAAATAATTAGAGTTTAAGCAAGTCCTTCGGGAGATTTTAGTGTTTGGGGCTTAGGTCTGTTATTTATTTATTTTAAAACGCTAGAATGCAATAAACATATTTTCATCATCATGTCTTCGTTCAGATCATTAAATTATTTTTTCGTTGTGAGACTCTTTTAACGAGGTTTTTGGAGTAATACTTTAATAGAAATTTGTTCACGGTGTAATTGACAAAGTTTTGAATTCTATGCTAGTTATGAATGTCATGTAAGCCAACTGAACTGAAAGATGAACTTAGTTTTTTTAAAGCTAGATCTTAGGTTTTTCTATTTTCTGGTTCTTGTTTCTGAATTTTCTAATGCGATTTTCATCTAAGAAACAGTAGATCCCAAATACTTACCAATGGAGAAAAAGATTGAAAAGGTATATCATTGACTCGACTTCCACAACATTGAGCTTCAATTTAATTTTGATGCAGTTTTGCAATAATTTTCTTCTGTGATTTAATATTCTAATGTTTAAACTAGTCTCTTATTTCTCTGAAATTATTTTCTTAGTGACACCACTCGTACTTTTGCCAAGTAGACTGACTATAGCAGTTACAACAATCCGTAGCTGGCATTTCTGGTCCACATCAACCACAGAATTTAACGCCATTGACTTTCTTTGGCATGTCTCGACCTCATCTGTACCTATACCACTCCAACTGAAAGAGGGCCAGACAAAGCATTGTCATTAACGAAACCAAATAAAAACATTAAATGTTAGCTGCCATGGCATAAAAGTACACAGCAAATACACAAAACTGTGTTCAGAATTTTGTGTATTTGTGGACTATTCGTACTATTTATTGTGTGGGTCTGTATTTGCATGGAAAAGTTGTTTCTCAAATAAATAAGCGCTTCGGAATGGAAACATTCGCTCCATTGCCCATAAATATTTGTTACCGCTTATGTTGATTCAAATGGTTCGGATTGTCAACTGATAAATGGTTACGATGGGTGGAGAAGCAGGACTGGGCACTTAATTGTCACCCAAACTACATAATTTATAAAAATGTATAAAATGAAGATGGAAGAAACCACAAGCACTACTGCAGTTAACTTGGGATGGCATCCAGTGGCATTTGAATACTCAAATCCAAATGGTGTTCAAATATATTAGATATTCACGAATTCCTGTTCATGCAGTAAACGACGGAGGTACCTACTTAGTGATGTTGGATATAAGAAAAATAAATTTAAATTAAATAAATAAAACATTCCTATAGTTTGACATGTGGTTACCACATTTACCATATCAATATAAACCCATATTCATTTTTCTTTCGTACAACTCGATTACTGTTTTTGCTGATTATAAGTGTCGTTTATTGTCCTTACTTTATACACAATTATTGTTCAACCTGCTGTCGACTTCAGAGCATTTACTCCGATTCGTTTTATTGAGAGTGTTTCGTTTTTGGCCAACTTCGGCACCACGGAAAAGTCACTGCCTGCCTGGTAGGAGTATCGTATGTGGAATCCCTTGGATCCGATTCTGTAGAAGAGCACTAGCCATCCTTCAAGCGGAGCAGAATACTTTTGCCGAACCTCTCCATCGATCTCGGAATTTCCGTCAGTATCTTCCATCAGCGATTCCCGTCGAAACGCCGATCCATCTGGATGATTGATCTCCAGCTGGTATCCACCGCCGTTTGCTGGTCTAACTTTTGAGTAACTCAAGCTCAGCACGATAATCCACTGGGAATAGTCACTCTATAAGGAATAATTCATGATGACGTGCGAACTCACCAGAGTTGCTAATCTGAAAGACATGGTGTTGTACCTACTGACATCGGCTTGCAACTAGCCAAGAAGTGCCCAAAAGCTCTAAATAATCGACAAATGAATCGCCCAAAACAAGTTTTAATGCAAAACCATTTGAATTCAGATAAAAAGTGGTAGAACCAGCCCCAGAACAGCCATCCAGGTAGGTGGCTCGAGTCTTTGATTACACTTGCGATTATTTTCAAGTTTGGTCGCAGATATGATATATTTTCAGTCTTGTCCTGACCATGTTCATGTTTGTTCTGCAAGACATAAACTCTACGCAATATTTTTGGGATATATATCCCCAAGGAGATCTTATTAATTGCTCCGACAGCCCGAAGGTGTTGAGTGGGGGATAGGCTTCAGTGTTTATTGGAGACCGATTGAAGAGCGTTCTGCGAACGGTCCCTTTGATTTCCCGACCTTATCGAAGTGTGGTACACACAGTCACCTGTTCGATGTCTGTTTTCCCCTTTTAGCGGCATGTGTCTGGCCATCACTTACCACCTCAATTTCCCGAAAACCGAATGCATCTAATAAATAGGCGCACAATTAACAAGTTCCCAGTGATTTATGCCGACGTCGCCGTTCGCTTGGGTTGGTTCTGGGTCGTCAGTTGGGTTGCGATGGTTTGGAATGGTTTGGGTTGGGCTCTGTTCCGATCGGATCGGCGTCCGCCGTCCCGTACTGGGACTGCGATTTTATGGGCACCCCGACCGCGCGGCGGAACAATGCAGGAGATAATTTTTTACGAGCCACTCGCCGGACTGCGATGTGCCCGCACGCCATATGTTCGGGTTGGGAACTGGCCGGGGAGAGGCAGGTAGAGCTGGATATGTGGTCCCAGATCCAGGGCCCTTCACGGACCGCGTGTGCAATTAAACAATTTCGGGAAGGGCGTTGGACATGCGCTCAGCCTTGACAGGGAATCTTATGTGGGCTCAAAGTCAATAAAGGGACGGGTTGTCTTCGGGCGAAATTTAATTGAATTTCGTTGAAGAAGTGCCCTTGCTGGGATTATATGATAATTCCACTGCTGGAATTCGGAGGAAATGTATAACGAATAATTCTGTAACAAGTTTAAAGGTAAAATATTGGCGAGGCTACGTCGTAGTACAACATCATTATTACAAGTGTCTTCAGCTATGAGCAGCTTTTAACCCAAGGTGATTCGTATTATTTTCCATAACTTAAGCATTTGAGCATTCTCGTAGTTCGACATTTAAGTGGTGTACTCTGAGTATCCCTTCCCACAAGGAATATTTTCCGTGTGCTGTCTAGAATGTCTAGAAGTTCCTCGAGTCATCTGAGACAGTTGTCCAGGGAAAACTTTTCTAATTGCTCCGCCCGCAAGTTTTGCCTCATAATTTCCAAGCTGCGGCGTCGATTGAACAAAGCAATATTTGCGCAAGTAATTTTCGGTCCAAAAACTTCCACTGAGCTGAGATGGCAGAAACGCCGCCCAGAAATGATTTCCCAGCCACGTACTGCGGCACGTTGCCAACTTTAATCTCTCGAGCTGATTCCGTTCCACTCGACTCCACCCGCCCCCACTAATTTTCGTTTAAAAGCGGAATTTATGTGAGCGGTGAGCTCAGCAGTTTTGCTCCTAATACGAAAGTACGAAATCAAATAGAACTTTTCCAGCCGAATGCGAGTATATGTGTTATATGTGTATGGGTTTTCGCGCGGAGTGGCGAAACGAAGGCATGAAAATCGTTTTGTTTGCCGGGCTCATCTTGATTTATGGCCGGGGAAGTTCGCACATTGGAGATGCCATTATTTTGCGTATTTATACAAATGCTTTTCCGCACACGGGCACATACGCATGTGGCTACGTGCCTCGCCATAAATCAATAAATGAAATTTACACGCATAGTTCGTGTTACGTGCTGTGTGAGTATCCACTAGATAAAGCTCCCTTTGGAGGGAAACTTGAATCTGTCGAATCATCGGTGCAATTCATTTTTCTTCATTAGGCGTAATCTGAGGTCATTCTCCAGCGGGTCAACCTCGCGGAGCGGGAGCGGAAAAACCAGTTAATTGCCGCCCAGCCTCCCCGCTCTGCTCCATTCGCTTGTCCAATCAAACGCATTTGATCATCTCGCAGGAGTGGAATCCTTAGAAGTCCCATGCCGAGGCAGTAATTTATGCGGCTGCTTCTCGGAATGGATAAATGAGACTAAGACTGCGATGGCAGGACAAGGGCCTGGAAGTGGGCATATATACCCATATATTTATGCTCCGTCGTTGGGGAACACATCAGTCGAATTTTTAAATGGGACCGTGAGTCCCAGTTAGGCACTACAATACAGGCATTTCGATGCATTAATTATTCCGCATAAGGTAACCTGCTAAGGGATGATTGTGTAGATATTGTAGCGCAGCAACGCTACTTTCAATCCCACATCAAAAGCAATTTCTCCTGGGTGTGCTGGGTGTGGGGCATCAACGACCGGGTGCAGGAAATTTAGCTATGCCCACGACAGATTTGCGAGGTATACATATTCCGCAGACCCAGAATGCCCATAAAAATGGCTTGCATTGTTGCTGCCACTGCAGTGAAGGAAGGCAGAAACAAGAAAAAGAAGCGCACGAGTATAAACAACAATGTCATCAACATAATTGTATGTCAAGTGAGTGGCAGCAAGAAGCGTCGAAAGCGGGACATGGGCGGGTACCAGAACAGCATGTGGGGATCGAGTGATTATACGGGTCTACGAATTCAGCAGGCCAGCCACACAACCCTTTCTATGGGTCCGATCTGGCGGGGAATTCTGTATAATTCGCCGCAGTTCGGTGCCCCCGCAACAAGCCCCTGGAAAGGGGCAGGGCTCCCTGAGAACTATGAAAAGAAGGATGGGGCAGGCGATGCCCGTAACCACTCGAACCCGAGACCATGACGAGACAATGCAATCAAAGGAGCCACCAGCAGACGTTGAATTGTTTCCCCTAATAGACAGTCGGTTGGGGCAATGAATGAGTGACAAGTCGTGCATATGCAATATTAAGCCATCGCAAAGCTGCGGAAAGGGGAGTGGTTCCGCCCTTGCTGATGAACACGCTCCTAACAAATTCGCCATCTATGGCTCACTCTATCTGCCCAACTAACACTCGCTGTTTAGAGCTCCTTATAAATGCCTCATCCGCTGCGTGGGAAAATAGGATCTAAAGCTTGCAGCCTAAATGTATCTCAGAACACGTTCTGCAATGGAAGGACAATAGGCATTCGTTGTGATTCAGGGCAACTGCCGCTTGTGGTGCTGCCTCCTCCGAAAGCGGTTCATATCGGATCACATGTACTATGTGCGGCTTAGGCGATGCGGGTCGTCCGATGACAAAAACACGGATTTAGCTGCCGCTGCCACTGCACCTAGCATTCTCCTAGTAATTCTCCGCTCACGTCAGCGGCATCATCGGGCAGCAGCCCCGTCATTGTCGTCTCCAGTGTGTCCCCTTCCTCGTCTTCCACCCAGCCACCCAGCCGCCCATTGAACCCACTCCTGCGCCCCTCGACGTCATCGTCGTTGTCGTCGTCATCAGCAGCAGAGGCGGTCGTCGTTGCTGGTTTGTGTGTCATTGAAATGAAACGCCAGGCGACGCCTCTTGAGCGGAATTATTATTACCACTTATGTAGTCGCCATCGCCGGCAGAAGCGGCGCACACTGGCATTGTTTTCCCACTGCGAGGCTTGGTTTGGCTTGGTTTTTCTCTTTTTTATTTCGCTTTGCTTTTCCCGCATCTGTGCACTGAGAAAAATCGTACTTCGGCGTACTTGCCCCACTAACTCACCAGCCAATCATAGTGCATGCGATTTAAGAGCATTATAACATTTATTTTCGAGCCAAACCATTTTTCCCTCTGCACATGCAACTTTGTGCGCTGGCTACACTCATTTCCACATGAATGCATCAGCGGCAGGAGGGGTCGGGGAAGAGGATGCCATGTGTGGCATACCACACGAAACTGTAGAAACTGTAGAAACTGCAGACCCACACCCATACCCATGCCTATTCCCCAGCCAAGAGCAGCCAAAACGACAGACCCGCCATAAACCGCAAGTCGTTAAAAATGTTTGAAAATTGTAGCAGCAGCAAATACTTGTAAATAGATGATGATGATTACGATTGCGCCGCGGATACGGATACGGATGCAGATGCAGATGCAGATGCCGAGGAAGGTGGACACCCGTACTCCAGATATAATACCATACGGACACTCAAGAGTCCCCAGAGTGCCATTTGGCTATTGCCATTGGGAATATCGCTCATTTCCCAGTACTACTCAGTTCTAAGATAAAATATTCCAAGTATTTGAATAACATAGTGCAAAACGTAGCAAAGTGCTAGTTGAATAACTTGCATAGTCCCGCAATCATTAAATAAAGTTAGTTGTTATTTTAGCACTACTATTCATGAAATGCGCCGCTACTGTACCCCATAACCCCATAGAACATTTATGGGGAATATTAAAAAGAAGAATTGGAGGTTTTAAATCAAAAAATAAGGAAGAGCTGTGGGAAAAAGGTAAGTCAGAGTGGTATGCCATTAACCCCGAAATTTGCGCCAATTTAGTGAATTCAATGCCCCATCGATCAGCAGTTATAAAAAATAAAGGAAATACCACTAAATATTAATATTACAACAATTTTTATAAGATAATTCATAAAAATGAAGTTTTTCTTAGTTTTAAGAGTTTTGTTTCTATTATTTTTTCCAAGCGCCCAAAATGAAGTTAATTATTTTTAGTTAATATAAAGATGAAAAAAATATTTTTGTTCCTTATTGTGAAATATACTTATATATGAATTCAAAAAAGATTTAAATATTACTTTCGTTCTACGCAAAAAATTTAAAATAAATGATTCAACCAACGTGTTTCTATTATTTTTTCCACCACTGTAGCTATTAGTTTAAAACGGTCACTTCTATTCTAAGGTTCTATTAGGTTGTCAATTGTATCTTGTGCAATTTTAGCTCGTCCCGTACAAAGGTCGTCATTCAGCGCAGTGAAGATTCTACACTGACCGCGCTTTCTACCTAGAAAGATCCCATTTGCACAACAAACATCTTATGTACATTTGCGGAGCGTCCAACACATCCGTCAATAGCAAAAGCTATTTTCAGCAGAGTTCTCTGCGATTTCTCCTCGACGGCCACTCGAGGAGAATGGCAATGGCAAGTGGCTGTCAATCGTGCTCTATATAAGGTCTCACATATGCCTACATAGCATCCGCGGAATGCCCCTAATGTCCACTTACCAGCAGCCCACTTAAGAACACGCCGTACCCACGAAAATGGCAGTCGATCGATCCACAAACTTGGCCTGCGGATATCAGAAGCGGACACAGAAGTCGGCCTAGGAAAACTTCGAGTTTGAGTTCGAGGAAAGCGACTTTGGGAGTGGAAGAATTGAGAGGTGCACTCAGAGAAAAGGTGCTGGAATAGCCCTTGAAATAGGTAATCAAATAACGTGTGCGCTAATGTTCATTTAAATATTTGTCATATCTGAGGAATAGGAACATTTGGATCCATGCACATTTGATCCATATACAATGTATTTTTCATATGTATATACTATTCCAACTAAACGCTTCGCGGAGTCCAATTATAATCAAGTTAGTGCCGTATAATTGGGGAGCTCAATAAATTGACCGCAAACGATTAGAAAATCGATACTTGCCACTAGTTTTCTCCGTGTGCGTAGCACTCATTAAATGCCAAGAACATGCGACATGTGAGTGCGGGTTGGGGTTGGTATGTAGATGTCTTCGAGGTCGTAAACACCCTGGCGGATGGGGGTGTCCACGCACCTCCGTCGTCCCATTTCAAATTCAAAATGCAATGCCGGTCGTGCGAACTTTAATTACACAACTGCGCCGTGGCCAACTGGCGACATCGGTTGCCCCATGTCCATCATGCGGGGTCATCTGGCTCAAATCCTTTCAAGTTGGAGGTGACAAGTCCTTCATTAGGTATACGCCTACCCTTCATTTGACTGCCAACGTTTTATTAAAATCGAATTAGAAAATCTGATCAGACTAAACGATACAGTCGAAGCTGAAGGAAAAGTTACACGATACATCGGATCTTAAATGTATTTTGTGTACTTTTTGATTCCGAGCAGTGGTTTGAAAATTGAAGGTTATCTTATTATATTATATTACTATATATATAAATATTATATTAATATTTTTAAGTCAAATATTATAATGCAAAAATATTTCGTATAGCTAAGAGTTAGCTTAAAGTATAAAAATTTGAATGTTATCTTATTATATTATATTATATTACTATATATATAAATATTATATTATTATATTTAAGTCAAATATTATAATGCAAAAATATCTCGTATAGCTAAGAGTTAGCTTAAAGTACATAACCTGCTACTGATTCGCCGAATTTAAACACTAGCTAGCCAACTTACATATTTCATAGTTGAAAAACCCGACATTATCTGACTACCTAGCAACCCCGATACTATTTGCCACCCCTAGATCCAATAGTAGTTCCTCCTCCGCCGCCGATGCTCTTATATTATGGCCATCTGGACTTGTCGGATGACTAAATGTTGCTCATTAAGTAAATTACAATTGCTGCCTCGGCGTTTTTCTTGTCTTCGTTTGCATGTCGCATGTGGGCGTGGCACGTACTTTTCCGGACGGCAGCGGGGGGCGGAGTGGCACTGGTTATGTGTAATTAATTTTGATTAACGGTTTCTGCTTCGGCGAAAACTTTTAACTTAACTGGATAGCGAGTTACAAGAGCGTTTCGGTGCGTTACATGTTCCTTTTGCCCGTCTAAAGTTTCTGGCAGGAAGCCGAGCGAAGGGGGAAGTGAGTAGTCGGCTGCTGGGATTTGGTGGTTAATGTTAAATGAAAGGTTACCTGCAAGGGTTGTCAGCCATGACGACGGGGGAGGAGCTGCTAAGTTGCCACAGGCTGTAATCCGAAAATCAGGGGCACATGCGGCAGGAAGCCAAGCTGAAAAGTTTGCAGCTCGACGACATTGCTGCGGATTTAATCAAAGGTGCTCTCTTTAAATAACATATTGGAGCAGGTGCACTCATAAGAAGCGAACTGAAACAGTTCCTAAATCTTTAATAATAATGGACAAAGGAAGCATTTCACTCGAGTTTTAAGAGTGTAGAACCACAACTTTCCCCAAAAGAAAACCACCACTGATTAGCTCATGATAGGACCCGCAACAATGTCTTGATTAATTAGTAGGCCCACAATGCAAATTGCACTGCTGTCCCATCCGGTGAAATATGACACAGCTGGGTAAGCCATGGCAAACTACCGACGACCGATACCCCGTAGCACTCCTGAATTCAGCTTGTGCATAGAAAAAATGGCTGCCTACTCGGGCGTCATAAATTAAAGCCAAACAAAATAAATCAATAAAGATTAAATCTTACGTGGGGCAAGCACAATTTGAAGTGCTCTTAGTTTGGAGGCATAATCCGGCTCGCTATGCCCGCTTGTATCTGCGTATCTGAGTATCTGAGGGGTCCGAGTATCTCTATCTGCCTGCTGGCATCTGCATTCGACTTCGAATCCGAATCTCGAATCTGTATCTGGGGACTCCTCCACCGAGAAAACGTGTGTCTGCATATGAAGGCGCCGCCTTGTGTCGCCCTTCTCCGTGTGTCTTTGGCAGCACTCGGAAACTACTTAAGTATTTAGGTCTCTGCGCAGTTGCCTCGCATTTTGAATGCTGAATAGGTATTTAAATTTCATACAAATTCTATAGGCAAGTCTGTGGTGCCTTTTGTGGACCTGAAGATATAAAAGAGCGGTTCAGTACTGCAAAAGCCGTTCGATTCAGTCAGACGGAAAGAAGCTTAAAGTCCCCTCCATCGCTAGACATCCGCCGACTGTTTTTGAGGCTCCAGCGGAGGAACAACAAAATCGTTCAGATACATCCGCACATATCAGTAGAGAGTGCCTGCGCTTTAATAACACGCAAAATAATAACGCCGGTAATAAAAAAGCCGCCATGCAGCATCAACAATGCAAATGAAACAATCAACATTGGGCCACACAATGGAGGTTTTAGAAAAAGCGGAGTCTCTTTTGCGTTCTGGAATGGGTTGAATGGGAGGAACGGGCCTTTGTTGGATCTGGTTGGGCATGACACAACTCTGCTTGTAAACGGGTCCATGATTATGAGGCGATATCAATGGGTGGTCGGTTCCCGGATGAACTGCCGCCTAAGCGGCTGGATGCGGATGAAATTGGCCCTGTGGTTAGTCAGCCGCACAGAGTTACGGGCTTTCAGCGGAGCCATTGGATAGGTAACCATAGCTAACCAGGTCGAAATATATATCTTAGCCAATTAAATGTTAGAACTTATAAAATACATAATACGTAAAACATGATATTTATCATATATATCATGTATATAAAGCAGTGCTGGGTCGTTAGCCATTTACCCATTCGTTTTTGAAGATAAGCGGCTCAAATGAGTTTCTTCCCCCATAAAAATGTAATAGATTCATACCCCTGCTAAGCGCCCGCGTCCCCGAGTTCCAGATAGCGTTCTGCTATACATTTTTTAATTTACAACCACCGATCGATCCTGGGCCCAGTCATTATCGTCGTGACCAGCAGTCCGGCAATCCACGGGCTTCACTCAGCCACGACTGAGCAGATAAACGATAAATGAAACGGTGCCCGAACACTTTTTATTAATAAGTGCACATTAATGTTTGCTTGATTAAGCGCTCAATCAAATGAAATTCTATACGCATGCTGTCCCGAACAAAAAGTGGAGGAATAGAGCGGAAAGGAGCGGACTCAACAATGCACGATGACCGAGGCAGACTCATCGAGGCCCAGTCCGCATCCTTGAGGATGGAACAATCCCCACTAATTTTGATGCCTCATTTCCAGTGAACATAACTTATGAGTGTTCCGTTCGGGTTCTTCAACTTCGATTTTGTTGCGCCCGATGTTCTGGTTTCGTTTTCCTCTCGCGCCCATCAATCAAAATAATATTTCAGAGCTCTCACATCAAAGGAGGAATCTCGGGCTGCGTTTTATTTTCGGCACTGCAAGGTCCGCATATGTATCTTTTACTGCTGTGCGAGGCTCTCACTTTGGATACCCAGCACCAAGGTAGAGTTTTCAGACTTAAGATAATTTTGAGTTCTTGGATAACAAATTGTCACTCGAATATTAATATTACAAACTGCATGAAATTTTATTTGGACTTAAGTCTGTGGCTCTAAATATTTAAATTGTACGTCTTCGCTCAGATACATGCTCAGTATCTAGAGCTGCTACCTAAACCATCCGGTCGATATCTGCGTGCATAAGAAGCGCTTGAAATACTTTTCCATGTAGCTGCAACTGTGCAACTGCTCTCTGTATTTTCTGCGGAACTGCCACTGCGACGAGAAGATGCAAGCTGCACCTTGCTGATGTCCGCCCCCTAGTCGTCGTAGTCGTCGTAGTCATCGTCGTCACTCTGATTGTTTGCACAGCAGCCGAGTTCGTTGGGACCTGGTTTTTATCTGGCCCGACAAACATTTACCGTTCCGCTGCCCGGCATTGTTCGTCCGCAAGGACTTCTCCTCGGCAGCGTGTGAACTTCCCAGGAGCTCGAGCAGAGGGTTCCTCCTCCGTTTATTTGCAATTTTTTGCATGCAGCCGAGAGTTCGGGATGTTTGCACCTTTTCACAGTTAGGATGCACGGACGGATGGATGGATGGATGGATGGATGGGAGCATCCCTGAAAGCGAGTATATGGCAATAAACACGAGGTATCTGGTTGCTTAATGACAGGTTGAAAGACGCGACCTTCCCCAGAATCATTAATGCGCCATACGAAGCAATTTAATATATGCACTTCGTTCCGGAGGAACAACCCCTAATGGAAGGGCGGGGAACGAGGAGAGCCTTTAGAAAATTGCTCACAGTCGAGTGTCTCCAAAAATGCAAATACAACGAGTGCAAAAGTATCTCAAGTATTAAGCATTTCACGACTTGAGTACGAGTTGAATTTTAATGCGGCGATCTCAAGAGGCGCACACAAAAATGAAAACGCAAAGAAGCTAAAGTGCCCAAGGAATCGGATTCGGAATCGGAATCTGAATTGAAAAACGTTGAACAACAAACAATATGAAAAGCAATTGCTATACTCGTAAATCAAATAAATCATGGGAAGCTCAGCCGTAGAGTGGAGCGTATTTGCACATGCTGGGAATGATTCGAGACTACTTGAGGGCCAAGATCCCTGGGAACTCCACTCCTCACTCGACCAGCTCCGATTCAGCTGGCTTTTGAACCCGCTCGAGAACCGAATCGAAACACACTTTCATAGAGTGCATAAATTCAGAGATCACATCAATAAAATGAAATCGAGTTGTGGGGATTAACAAACATGTTTCGTTCTTATTTATCTGCCAGACTCGACCACTCCGATTTATGGGCCCCACTTGCGATACCTGCATACTAATTAGTTCGATTACGAATTGTCGTAAAACGATGCTGCATCAGCAGCAGATGTTGAATGAGCTGCATAATAAATAAGGATTGTGATGTCAATCGAAAGTAATTACTAGGGGATGAATTAATTGGCTGCATACATAACTCTGGACTCATATAAACTCATGTATTCGAACCTCTTATAAATTGCATTTAGAGGTTACTCGCAAAGTATAATCGTTACTACTACTCGTTACATTTTTCTTAAATATCTTTGAGCTTTGACTTTACTTGCCCAGTCAACAAAAGAACGGCAGATGCCCCTTCCAAGTAATCACATCACATTAAATGTAATCGAACTTCCTATCTAGGCGGCTGGAAATTATTGAAATTAATTATTGAAGTCACTTGTGACTTTTCAACGGAGATGAAAATCGATAAGCATAATTTGAATATTCGAATGAAAACACACGGGTGAGCCCGTGAATAACTGGCTTTTGAAGCGATGAATGAAAGCAATTGTTGGAATTCCCCAGAAATGTTTAGTATACTAGGAAGCCTCGCTTCCATTTAATTCAAAAGAAATGCAAATTTCGCTCTGTGGGTTATTCAATTCGAGAAGTAAAAAGCAGGCAGCCAAGAAGCAGCCCTGCATTTAATGAATTATCCAGAAAATGCAAATGCCAAGTGGAAGATGACTGTGAGGATTTGCAGGCCGCGTCTTGATCTGGATGCCTGCCAGGCGGATTCAGAATCGGAATCAGAATCAGTATCTGAAGCTGAAGCTGACGCTGAAGCTGTGCACTGCAGTTGAATGCCGAGTGTTGAATGCTGAATGGAAAATGCTGGTGCGCTGCTGCCAGCAATTGTTTGTATTTACTTAGCGCTCGCTCCGCTCCTTTGTGCCCTTTTAAATGCACGTTCAGCTCCGGGTCTTGTGCGTTCGACTGGGCCAGCTCCGAGTTCTTGATTTGTCTGGTTCTGGCTCTGAATGTGGTTCCTGCCTAGACGAGTTCGAGGCCTGCGACTCCAGCAGAGGGTCGAGAGCAGCGCAGCTCAGCGCAGCGCACTTAATCATATTCGATACAGATAAGCTTCACTGCCGGTACGTGCATAGAATTCAAGCATACATAATAATCACCGACATGCCCAAGGAGCAGACGTCTTCTTGCGTGGCCAGGGGCAGAAGCTTACCCATATTGGGTACACTGGGAGAAAGGAGGCGTAGGCACAGAGCCAAGAGGCGGATTCATTTAGAAACATCTTATGTTCAATGCGATTTAGTAACTAAATTGGAAAGACTTGGGCAAATGCGTAATTAAAGCGAATTTTATCACAATTTCCATTTTGAATTCTATATTAAGCCGCGCTTTGATTATGGCAAAGAACAAATTGAGTATAGAATTCCAACACCATTATTTATTATAATTTACAGGGTTACTAAGTCAGTGTACCAGGAACAAAGTATCAGTGAAAGGAAATAATCCTGCTAAAGGAAGTGCTCTTTCCATGAGATCCTGCTAAGATCTCTCGCACAGTGCCGTGCAAGCCCGCAATTTTCCCCAGTGTACA